GGATTTCAGGGTGCAAAACATCAGGTTCTGGAGCATTTCTTATATCAGCTGGGGCACAGATGTTCTCAGGCACCTCTGTGATCTCAACATGCATCTCCTGAGTATAGACCTGATGTTTTCTTTTCCAGCTACAAAATGATAAACTAATAAACTACAAAAATGTAAATCTATAGATTATTTCTCTTTTCTTTAAATTTTGTCATTCTTACCTGTTCAGCAATCTGATACAGCAGAGCAGAAGGACAGTAACATAAAGTCAGGAAATCCATCTGAAAATGGCCCAGTTAGAATTAGTACAGTGTTCATTACTTCATTGTATAACACTTGTCTAAAAAGCTTATCTGGGGCTAAATGTTGCAGAGGAAATCAATAAAGATTATCCCCATACAAGTAGAAAAGGCAGCACCTTTCTGCTCAGATGATTAATATTTCAAGTGCAACAGTCTCATTTTTTTAAGGTCATTATAAATGACATCAAATCTGGAGAAAGAACAAACTCAGTTCTGCCTGTCACAAGATTTTTCCAACTGCCATTAAGGGACATTCTCTTTGTAATGGCAAGAGACAGCACACTGCTTTGGCTGAACTGTCCAAATCACCATGTTCCTCTTAAACCACTGTACAAGTGAGATGATTATTGCTCTCAGAGATGAGCTTATTACAAACTAATCTTTGGTCAGAAAGTTGTACTAGGTAGGTCCCCTCTAACTGAATGTATCCTATCCTATCCTATCCTATCCTATCCTATCCTATCCTATCCTATCCTATCCTATCCTATCCTATCCATTTGTATACTTTCCCACAATGAACCAGGAGGTCCATCATGTGGGATATAATTCAAGCCCTGTCCTAGAGCAGCCAGCTCTCTCCAAGAGGCTCCCTCAGGAGTAGGTGAGAAGGAGGAATGGGAAATAATCCCTTTCCACAGGCCTTTCCATAGCATCTCCTAGTTTGTTCTGGATCCTTGCTAAAGGTAGGCAGGATATCAAGGGTTTCTCCTTGAAAGATGGAAGGCAAACTCCCCTGCAATATGTTAGGAAGTGCATATTATAATGGCTTTTAAGCCAGTAAGTGCATATTATAATGGATTATAAGTCTTTTACCAGCACTGCCTGATTGCAACTTTGGTTGGCAACTTTTGGTGGCCCTTTGGTATCATAGTCAGTCACTAAGTATTTCTCATGCCTTAGAAACATCAATAGCTGGGCCTCACATAAAGCAGTAGTTTTAGAGCTCAGGGTACAAGACTGTGTTTCCAGACAGTTCTGGAATATCTCCAGTGAGGAGACTCCACTCCCTCCCTGCACAATCAGTTCAGTGCTCGGTCACTGCTCATAAAGAAGTTCTGCCTCCTGTCCAGGTGGAACTTGCTGGGATCAGTTCCTGCCCGTTCCTCTGGTGCCATTGCTGGGCCCCTGGAGCAGAGCCTGGGCCCTGCTCTGACCCTCCCTGCACACAGGGACACCCAGGGATGAGGTTCCCTCTCAGGATCTCCTCTCCAGGCTGAACAGCCCCAGCTCCCTCAGCCTTTCCTGGGCAGGGAGATGCTCCAGTCCCTCCATCATCTTTGCCACCCAGCACTGGACACACTCCAGGAGCTCCATGTCTCTCTTGTCCTGAGGAGCCCAGAACTGGACACAGAACCCCAGACGTGCCTCATGGGGTCTTCTTGCTCACAGGGGACACTCCTGGGTCATGGACATCTTGTCATCCACCAGGACCTTGAGATGCCAGAGGTCTCTGTCTCCTCCCCCAGCCCAGGAGCATCCATGGATGTGTGTGTTCAGCTGCATGGTTGTGCTCTGTTTTAGCACTTTCATCTGAACCACTCCTCCTGAGATTGTTACTTGTCTCAGTATCTTCTCATCTGAGTGACTCACTGAAGAGAGTTTGTTTTGGCAAGATCAGTTCATGAAGGATCCATGCTGATATTTAATACTCTACTGGTTACAAAATTTGTTCCATTATTTTCCTGGAGATCTAAATTAGGCTTATTGACTTTTATTTCCTGGGCCAGATGTGTGATGATTGATTTTTTTACCTTATTACACTACTTCTTTCCTTTTATAAGTGACTGAGAAATGAGTTCTTGTGGTTTGGGTTGCAGTGGAAGGTAACAGAAATCACTACAGGAAGGACACTGAGGGGCTGGAGTGTGGTCAGAGAAGGGAACAGAGCTGGGGAAGGGTCTGGAGCACAAGGATGATGAGGAGCAGCTGAGGGAGCTGGGGGGGCTCAACCTGGGGAAAAGGAACCTCAGGGGGAACCTTCTCACTCTTTACAACTCTCTATAAAGAGGTTGTGGCCATGTGGACGTCAGTTTCTCCTCCCAGGTAACAAACAATAGGACAAGAGGAAATGGCTTCAAGCTGTGCCAAGAGAGGTTTAGATTGGATTTTGGCAAAAAATTTCTTTACAGAGAGGGTTGTCAAGCATTGGAACAGGCTACTCAGGGACGTGCTGGGGTCACTAGCCCAGAAGTGTTCAAGAAATATGCAGCTCTGCTTCTTAGAGACATGGTTTAGTGGTGGACCTGGCAGTGATATGGAAATGTTTGGACTCAATGATTTTATAGTTCTTTTCCAGCCTTAATGATTCTGTGATTTCTTGACCCACTATTCATGCTAAAGGAATCTTTAGTGAGTGAGGGTAATGGTTCTGCCCACTTCGTTATTGAAAACAACACTGGATTAACTATTGCAATATAATCATTCTTACTTGGACCGGTGCTAATTATTTCAGAGTGTAGTAAGTCATGTTCCAGCACTCATACCTACGTCCTGGCATTGCTTAATTTACTTTTAGAGCCTTCTCCAGGTGAGAGGGCAGTGTGCCATGGAGGAAAAAGTGGTGCGGATGAATGAGGAAAAAAACCAAGCCAAATAATAAGCACCTTGAGTTGTGAAATTGAACTTTTAACTTAATACTTGTCTTTCACACTAGAAGAAATGCCGCTGAAATGAAGGAGTCAGAAATGTGTGATGAAATTATTCTGTGCCAATGACTCTGGGACTTGAAATCTTAATTATGACAGCAGCTTCCTTACTAAAAAGGGACTGGAATGTGCAACCTTTGTAAGGTGAGACTGAAATAATATTCGGCCCCATTGTTAGCTGCACAGAACACCTGTTTCCCAAAGGTCACAGAGTGGGGATTGCAGGTTATTTATGCTAATTGTTATTTCTCTCTGAAAGGGGGTCTGATAGAGGGTTGCTTGCCTGACTTCTGTTTTTGCCTAGGAAATCTTCTCACAGAACCTGTTTCTGCTCATGCTGCTAAATACTTAGACTCCCTTCAACACCTAATGCTAGTAAAGTCACAACGTTGGTGAAGTTTAGAGAATTTTATTCCATGGTAATCAAAAAGAATGAAAATTATGACGAACTGGTCAGTGAAAAATGAGTAATTTAATGATTGATACAGCAAAAGAAGATATTAAAAAATTTGGAACACAGGTCTACTTGTTATGAAATACAAAGTTTCTAAATGCAAGGACCTTTCCCCTTTTGACTATCTGTTATTGTGAATTAAGCCATTATCTCAGATTGTCCTTTTTCTTTACAAGGCAGATTTGGTTATCTGTATTTAAATATAATCTTATAGTATAAACAGGATTCTTAATTTAAATTAACTACATTTGATTTGTTTTTTTGGGGTATTTTTTGTGTTTTTTCACAACTGAGCATTTTACTGTAGAACATATGTCAGCAACAGATTCTAAACCAGAATAGATCAAGAGGAAACTGCTCTGCTCTCCTAATTTCTTTTAAGAATTACATATTTCAAGCAATCCTGTTTGTCTTCTGGTCCTGTTAACAGTACAATAGTTTAAATTTTCAATCAAGTTAAAAGTAGTTGCATGACCAAGCACTATCCATCTAGCAAGAACATAATGAACATATGGAATCACAGACCTTCAAAAATGTTTATTAGATAATATTTTGAGAAAAGGAAGACGAGAAAAGCTAATAATTAAATATATCTGGCAAACAAACAACAGCTTTAAATTAAGATTTATACCGTGTTCTGGATCATTATATAGATAGAATATGTGCATCATCCTACAGGTTTTTTCTTGTGTGAGTCACTGTACTGAAGTCAGTCCTTCTGCATATGTTGGAGAGGCAGGATGGAATCAGTGTTTGTGGAAGAATTCCTTAAGGAGATGGATGTCCAGGAAGGTAAAAGTTCAGCTTGTTATTTTTTTTTTTTTTTTCAGTATCAGGAGCAGAGCAGTGGACTCGACGAAGCTCTGTACATCTTGGCCACTTTGCCAGGAGTGTTGGAAAAAGCCTCTTCAAACTTTCAAGGGTTGGCTGAAAACAATTTGAAACACAAAATTAATCATGAGTGGGAAGTGAAAACCTGCAGCATGTCCTTTCAGAATAATTTTTCATCAACATTTTCTCTTTAATGTTTTCCTCTCTGTTGCCATTTACTCCATAGCAGCATCCAAACCACTAATTTCACCATACATAGAAAATTAGTGGCTCTCTCAAGAAGATTTCTCACATACCCATAAAGGGTTTTTAAATCTTTCTTTCTTTATGGTACAGTCTGTGGTGAAAATTTGGTTAATTCCATAACAGAAGATAGGAATTAAATCTTGCATTGTGAAACAGTCCATTTTTTTTTCCTATTAGAATTCTAAAAGCTCGTTTGCCACTTGCTCTTATCAAGTGTGTTGCTGCTTCTATTTGATCTGTCACCATTGTTCAAAGGATGAAGAAAGAAAAAAAAGGTAAAGAAGTCCCCTCCTTCCCTAGAATTTCTTAGCTAAGGATGAGATTTATCTCTCCTGGGCATAGAAAAGCATCATCTCACATGGGTAAAGCAGACAGAGTGGTGAAATGTGATTCTCTTATAGTGATTTCGGCCTAGTATTTCAGCAAATATTTTTTTTAAAAGATAAGTTTGCATAAATTAATTGTTGTTTAGGGTTTTTTAAAAGCATCAGCTTTACCTAAGTCACAATTAAAATTAAAATTCTTGGAACTTACTGCATAATCCATCCTCACAAGCATTGGGGCAATCCCCACAGGGCTCTCCTTCCTTGTAGGGTGTCTTCATTGAATGTATTAGGTTTCCCCTGAAATATCAATGTTCATCAGCTCTGAAGTCACTACACCATATTTGAGAGGAAAACTAGGTTATAAAGATGTTTAGATTTACCCTCTGGTACTTATGTAACTTACTGTTACATTTACCCTTTGGTTATATGTCAATCAATTTTTACATGTGTGCTGGGTTTATTTGAAATGCTTTGGCAGTGGGCAGAAAGAGGGGGGGATTTGCAGGGGTGGCTTTTGCAGAAGACACCAGAGGCTGTCTGTATTCCAGACAGGGCCAGTGTTGGCCAGCTCCAAGTGGGACTCATGTGATGGTGGTAGTGGCTCTGTGATAACACATTCCAGGGAGGGTAAATTCTGCATGCAACAGCAAACAGAAGAAAGGAGTGAGAATGTGTGAAAGAAATCACTCTGCAGGCACCCAGGTCAGTGCAGGAGAGGCAGGAGGTGCCCCAGGCACTGGAGCTGAGATTCCCTGGTGCAGCCCATGGATGTCCATGGGGATGCAAAGATCCACCTGCACCCTGTGGAGGACCCACACTGGAGCAGGAGGATGCCTGGAGGAGGCTGTGATCCCATGGGAAACCCTCACTGGATCAGGCTTCTCACTGGCCTTGTGACCCCGTGGGGGACACAGGTTGCAGCAGTCCAGTCCTGAAGGAATGGAGGCATGGAAGGAATCCATGCTGGAGCAGTTCAGGAAGAGCTGCAGACTGTGGGAAGGACTGACCCTAAAGTTCATGGAGGACTGTGTCCAGTGAGCAGGATCCCAGAATGGAGTGGGGAAGGGCACGGGGAGGAAGGAGTGGCAGAAATGGCACACGATGAACTGGCCAGAGCCCCCAGCCCCATCCCACTGTGCTGCTGATGGGGAGGAGGGAGAGAAAATCAGGAGTCGAGCTTGGGAAGAAGGTGGGGGCTAGCAGAAGATGCTTTAGATTTGGTTTTACTTCTCATTATCCTAGTCTGATTTGGTTAGCAATAAACTAAGTTAATTTTCCATAGCTGAGTCTCTTTTTTCCATGACAGTAACTGGTGAGTGACCTCCCCTGACCTCATTCTGACCCATGAACTTTTTGCCATATTTTTTAATTACTCTGTCCTGTTAAGGAGAAGAGTCAGAGAGGCTGGGTGAGCTGCTGATGGTCAGTCAAGGTCAACCCACAACATGATATTGTGAATGTGGAAATTAATTTTAGGCACTATTTGAAATTGTCACTTTACCTTAACATTCCCATTAAAGCTTTTCAGTATTAATTGTAGTCTTCACTGTACTGTACATATTGGTATGCCTTTCTAAATTGAGATTTCAAGTAGAACATGCAAAATATTAACTACTATGAAAATTAGGATTTTTAGGCAAGTGACATTTAATCCGAAAATCAGTGTCCCTTTTACATATTTTATGCTTTTTCTTGTTTGACAACTCTTTTCATGAGCATGTTTCTGTCTTTTCTTATTCCTAATACAGTCTTCAGAGCTGTTTCTCAGCTCTTGGTGGTGTGCCCTGTTACAAATCTCACCAACCCCTGGCTAATTTTGATAATGTAAGAAGTACCAAAATCAGAATCCATACGTACGTGGGGCAGTACTGGCAGACGTAAAAGTAACTGTACGTAGTGTTGCTGCAGAAAGCAAAACCACATCCAACTTTATAAGAATTGTGCCAAACCATCTGTAGGTACAAGAATAAAAATCATGGGAGCATTAAAAATATACATTTGAAAATAATTTAAATATAATATGCATCACAGAAATGTTTGCAATGATGTTAAGTCACTTTATTTACCCTTTACAGTAAAAATGTGAGCCTCATTTTACTGAAAATCTGCTTTCACCCCTATTCAATCAAAGAATATTGGGAATATAACAATAATAGTTCAAGACTCGTTTTTATAAAACCTTTGATTTTGTATTTATGTCTTCATTCAATTGAAACTGTTAATGTAGAAATGATGATGAAAAATTTTGTATCCTGTGTTTTGTACAGGTACCAGAGAAGTTTAGGATAAGCCATTGTCCAACTCCTCTGACTCAAAAGAATTCTGTTGACTGCAACAAACCTATTTATATTTCCTTGCTGATACTTTAATAAATAACCCTGTTTTTCCATTGTCTGGGCAATTTTCAGATGTTAAACAAACAAATAAGTTGTTACTTCCTGAAGTATTGAAATACCAGTATCTTTCCTCTTTACTCCTACATACACTTAAACTATTATTTTATTTTTAATTTTGTTACTTTACCTATTATTTTCATTCTAATTCTGTTCCTTTGGAAATTTTAATCTTGTTTTGTTAGAACAACTCTCATGTCTCCATTGAATTTATTTCCTTTAAAGATGAGAGGGTAAAACTTGCTTAGCTAACATTTATTTTTTCAGCCTGAAATATGAAATATATATATTTATATATAAATGCATCTACCTGAGTGTAATGGCCAAACATAGCACCTTTTGTTTTTGCCCCAGTTCCATATTCAAAATTTTTCTCCTCATTGTACCAGGCCTGAAGAACATCTGACCATGAGAAGGGGGCAGAGGACATGAAGAGATTCTCACCACATTGTACATCTGAAAAGAGGATGGTGCTGAGAAATGCATAGAAAATGCATGAGAAAAAAATCCCAACAAAACAAACCAGCAAAAGGTGGATGATTTCCATAGACATTCTCATCCTAAATGGGGCAGTAGGATGTTGGTTTTTTTTCCAGTTGAGTGACATCACCCTTTGTCAATACTGAAGGTGTCCCTTGGCCAGTTTGCAGCGTGGCCTGTTTGGCTGGTGGTTGGTTGTTGGTAAAACATAATTCTGTAGGAACACCTGCATCACAGGTTCATGACTATAATTTTTTTGTAATTTGGAAGTTGCCAACATGATCATTACTCAGGTCACAGCCCAGTAATCTTGGGGAAATCCCAGTAATCCAAATTTTACTCCTGGCACACAAGAAAGTGTTTATACTGCCCTTATCTACTGTTTTTATTCAGGTCTAACCCCACTGCATTGGTCCTCAAATGGGACTCGCCCTGGAAAAAAACCCAGGATTTGGATTTTAGGAAAAAAATATTGACAGGACTGTCCACATTTTAGATATGGTGTGGGCAGAAGTCACTCAACAGCACACTGGGCTGTTAACATGGTACAGCTGTAAATTCAATATCCAGTGACTGACTGAAGTGTTAATCTGAGCCTCAAAGACAGTTTTGGGTTCAATTTGCCAGGGGATTTAAAAACTCTAAATCTGGTCTGAGAAACTGTGCTTAGCACCACCAGCCAGTTTTGCACCTTTGCCTTTTGCCCCTTTCTTCCCAGACATTTCAAACCAGCACATGTAAACTGGTTTCTGCACTTAACTGTCTCTAGATCTCTAGATTTCCTTTTTTTTTTCTGATGGATATTTTACTAGAATATGCTTTATCACTATGATTTAATTTTTTCATCTGCTGTAGAAAATGGGATATACCTATGTAAAATAGGGATGAGAATGGGATTGAACCTCTCTCACTCACTGGGCAGATTTCTACCTAGAAATTTCTCTTTGTCACACGACAAAAAAATCAGTATGGAATTAAAATTGCATCTCATTTCCCATCAACAAACAAAACTCCAAACTGGTCACATAATAATGTGTGACTTTGTTCAGTTCCACTCACACTTCACTTACCAGTTCTCCTCAGATTTGGAGGACTGTGCTTTAAAGTACATTGATTGGCCCAATTTTGGGCATTCTCTGCAGCTGGAGGACACCATTCCTTAACAAAAGAAGAGAATATCAGTCACATATCTGTGAATAACCCCTCATAAAAGAGCAACATTTAGAAATTACATTTAAATAAGAAGAAAGACAAATGCAAAATCCTTTTCATCTCATTTTTTGAGGGGAGAGGTAGGTAGGAGCAAAGTTACTGTGCACCAAGGGAATAGAAACTGTGAAGCCTGATGAAGAATGGATCAGCAATAAATCAATTATGCTACGAATCTTTCTTCTCCGTTTAATTTTACTTCAAAAAAGACATAATTGTTGATACACCACCAAATTTTCCAGTTTTTTTCTTCCACCTGCCCAGCCTTATGCTTCTCTTGGTTCTGGCTGTGATCAATCCTTAGGAAAGGTCTGGAGAAAGAATTTGTGGTTAAATAAAATAATGTGACCCTGCATACAGTCCTGTATCTCTCATAGAATCCACAACTCATTAAAAATAGATTTACAGCACACAACTTACCATCTTCATCATGTTGCTGGCAGTTGGTTTTACTTCTCTCCTGAGGGCATTATGTCTGTCAACAATCAGCTTTTGCTGCTCTGCTCTGCTGCTTGACAGAGCACTGAGAGCTTCAGTTTCCTAAATTGAAAAAAAAAAAAAAAAAGTTGTACTTCTGTTTTATTTGAATTCTACTAAATCCTGCATCCTGTGTAGGAAATATTAAAGTACCAAAATTTTATTATCAACCAAGGAGATGATCCCTGTTGGGGAGGAAGGACTGTGGTCTGCTTTCTGTCCTAAGTGTCTCCAGGGGTGCTTCCATGTGGGGCAGCATTTCAGTGGTTCCAGTGTAGAGCCCAGCAGTAATAACCCTGATTCCTGTATTGTATCCTCCAACCCTCTGTGGAGGACTGAGATATTTTGGAATGCCTGTACACTCATACATTTAGGCAACAGAACGAGATTCATTAACCAATATTATAATTTCCTAATGAGGGTTTGTGGAAAGAGGATCTAAAAATCATCTGAATGTATGGATTGTGTTTATGATGTGTTTCTCTTCTGTGTAGTTTTAAACATCCTTATCAAGGTTTTTCTATTGAAGAAATCTGTTGTTTAATCACAGGATCATCTCAGGCCTCTTCATCAGGACATCCCACTGAACAGAAAATGTTTATGCCTTTCACGCCATAGATTTTCTTCCAATTCTGTCATAACTGATAAAATTTCTCGTGCTTTTCAGATGTTCTCTAATTAAAAAATAGCCATGTGAAGAACTCAGACTACTCTATATTCATTCTAAACTCGTCTGGACTGCAGCATTGAGAGGAGAAATTGAAGAATTAGGGTGAAATACAGTCAAGCCATCGGTCACATCCAGTGTTTCTGGAGCAGAAGTAGCAAACTACAGATTTCAGACTAAGCTTGGGTTGGGATGAACCACTCTGTGTGTGCATTCAGAGTTAATTTAGCTGTTTGAGGGAAATCAGAGATAGATGCTGAGCAGATGGCACTGTGAGCAAAGGGAGAGGCAATACCTCAGGACCTGCAGGGTGAGAAAAGAGGAGAGGTAGGTAAATGATATCTGTAAACCTGTGTGGAATTAATGGGAAAAGTGCTGGATCTTTAGGAGGTCCAGATTATTGGATTTATGTAGCTGTAACTTCTGGAAAATACAGTTATCTCTGACCCAAATTACAAGTAATGTTTTAGATGTGTTTTTTTGTGCAAATGTGGAACCAGACAACTGCTTTGAAATGAAGCAGAATTCAAGGATAAATGCTTTCCAGATCCTAGGTATATAATACTTCAAGGATAAATGCTTTCCAGATCCTAAATATCTAATCAGACTCTTTCTGCATCTATTTGGTGTGCATAGGAAAAGCCATATTCAGTCGGTCTACAAGTGCCTCGGGGCCCACCCAAATTTTACAAATAAGAGATATGTATTCTACCTGTCCATTGGATGGAGGCAGCACAGCTGTGAGACACAGGAACACCACTGGCAGAAGCATCTCTGAAAGGACGAGAATGAGCAATTAATTTATTTTTAATAGAGCTTTCATTTCTCTGAATACAAAATACATCTTTCTCCTGTGTTTGCTGGCTTTTGCTCAAGTTCCTTCCTTCCTTCCTTCCTTCCTTCCTTCCTTCCTTCCTTCCTTC